GGGGTGTGTAACGGGTGGCTGGGTGAATGAAGGGAGGAGGCTGTGGCTTATCATGTCTTTTTTCTTTTCCCATTTTCTCTCCTTTTGTTTTTCCTTTCAGTTATTAAAAGGGAAACAATGGAATATTTTGCATCAATAATAATAATAATAAAAACAATGGCAACTCTCAGACCCGGACAAAACTTGAGAACCTTATGCTTAGCAAACTTCATCAATGTTCTAAAGAGAAATCATTAATGACACCATCATTATAAGGAAAAACAAAGGGGAAAAAGTATTCTTTTTTTTTTTTTAACATTTTATTAGGGGCTCATACAACTGTTATCCCAATCCATACACACATCAATTGTGTAAAGCGCATTTGTACATCGTTTCTCAAAACATTTCCTCTCCATTTAAACCCCCGACATTAGGTCCTCATTTTTCCCCTCCCTCCCCGCTCCCCCCTCCTGCATGAGCCCTTGATAGTTTATAAATGGGTCTTTTGTCATATCTTGCCCTGTCCAACGTCTCCCTTCATCCACTTTTCGGTTGTCTGTCCCCCAGGGAGGAGGTCACACACAGTTCCATGTAATCGGTTCCCTCTTTCCTACCCATTCTCCCTTTACCCTCCCTGTTTTGCCACTCACACCACTGGTCCTATAGGTCTCATCCATCCTGGATTCCCTGTATTTTCAGTTCCTATCTGTACCAGTGTACCTCCTCTGGTCTAGCCAGACTTGCAAGATCGAATTCGAGTCATGGTTGTGGGAGCGGGGAGGAAACATTTAGGAACTAGAGGAAAGTTGTATTTCTCATCATTGTTACATCGCACCCTGACTGGCTCATCTCCTCCCCGAGACACCTCTGCAAGGGGATCTCCAGTGGCCTACTAATGGGCTTTGGATCTCCACTCCGCACTCCCCCCATCATTCACTATGGTAAGATTTTTTGTTCTGATGATGCCTTACACCTGATCCCTTCAACACCTCGTGGTTGCATAGGCTGGTGTGCTTCTTCCATGTGGGCTTTGTTGCTTCTGAGCTTGATGGCCGCTTGATTACCTTCAAGCCTTTAAGACCCCAGACGCTATACTTTTTGATAGCCGGGCACCATCAGCTTTCTTCACCACATTTGCTTATGCACCCATTTGTCTTCAGTGAATATTCATTTTTTTAACACCGGAAGATAAGACTTTGAAGACTACGAGGCTGCCAGGGACAGGGGTGGGATAGGAAATTATCGGGGGAGGGAGGGAGAAGGATGGGGGGGGACAAAAAAAGAGAGAGGACCACATTTATGGGTGGGGTGGGGTCGGTAGGATATTCTGACCAGTTTAATTTGTTGAGAGAGGCTTGCGGCTATCTAGAATATTCCTCTTGACAGACTTAAATAAATAGATAAGAGTGAAGGCTGACAGCCTGAAACACCCCCAGTTCCTTACCCCTCAGATCTACATATATATCAGAGCGGCACCAAAAAAAAAGGATTTTTAAAAATTAAGTGGACTTTAAGTCTTTAGTGACATATAAGTTCATTTCAAGCATATGAGGGGAAAAGAGGGAAGGAAGGGGCGTGACAAGAGAGGACCCCACTTTTCTCGTGACCAGCCGCCAGTGGCCAGTGTGTGCCTGTGCTGTGCTGTCTCCCAAGAAGCTACTTGCCAAAGTTCAGGGTGGTCGTGGCACACGTCAGTTCCCACGTCAGTCTCCCCCCTGGCCGGTGTTGCTCCGCTTCCTCTCCTACTTGGTATTCAACCCACGTCTCTGGTGTTTCCCCGGGAGCTCTGGGTTCTGGAATTAGGATCCATACCTGTGTCATTTGTCTGTGTCTGTGATAGAGTTTTTTTATAGCCTGTCCTCCAGTTCCTATGATTGTTTTTTAAGCGTGCACCAAGCAGCCAAACAAAAACCACAGAGCTGTTTTCTTGTAACTCTGTTGCTGTTGTCCCTAGCGGCTGTCCGGCTCATTTTGGACTCATTGTCACCCCACCTGACACCATACAATTGTCCCCAAAGGGGCATGCTTATAGGAGCAGACCCTCAGGCGGTGGTAGTGGTTTTCTCTGCAGTGCCGCTGGGTAGGTTTGAACCACCAACCTTTGGGCAACAGCAAACACCTAATTAGCCACTGTGCCCCCAGGGCCCTGTTTTATCACTACACATAAAAAGGGCCGAGGGGGCAGTGCCTGACCCTCTCTTACTGCACAAAGGCAAAGGAGACTCATCATCGCCTCAGCTTCCCAAGTCTGACTCCTAGGTGGTGGAAGTCAGACATGCTGATTTCGACAATTCACTGGAATTCACTGGCCCAGAACTCAGGGGCCATACTCTATTGTGGGCTTTACTAGAGATGTCTGATCCCAATTCGGGATCAGCGTGGTCAGGATCAGTTCTGTTGTCAGGATCATCTCTTCTTTACGTGCTTTATTCGTGCTTGCAGGCAGGCATCGCTCTCTGGCCCTCGATCCATGGCTTGGACTCGGTCCTGCTTGGGCAATGCTACAAAGTTCTTTTGGCCCTGCTGATAAATGTCCCAAGGTCACTCCACTCCACCATAACCCTCGGCCCCACAGTGCTGGTCCCTGCCTCTCTGGGTCAGCAAATTTAACTCCCCAATTAAATGCTTGGCAGCACCCTACTCCGCGAGCAGGCCCCCTACCCAAAGGCACTCACCTTGACTCGCTCTGAGGGCCGGGAGCCCCCTGCTGGGTCTCAGGCTCTGCCTCTTGATTCAGCTGTTGCTCCTCAGCGCCTGCTTCTCTGGCGTCACAGCTGGTGTCCCTGGATGAGGGGGTTCGATGCACAGGGATCTTGGAACCCAAAGGACATACTCCACTCCTGACTCTGCTTCTTAAAAAAAAATCATTTTATTGGGGGCTTGTACAACTCTTATCTCTTATCACAATCCATCCATCCATCCAGTGTGCCAAGCACATTTGTATATTGGTTGCCATCATCATTCTCAAAACATTGGCTTTCAACTTGAGGCCTGGCTCGTCTTTTTTTGATGGCAGTGAAATCCTTCTGTTGCTGAGGGGGATCATTTTATAGCCGGCAGAATGTTAAAACTGACCAATGACCGCCACTTTAGAATTCCAAGTTTTTACCATCATAATCAACTGTGCTAACAATCACTCACAACTAAATGACATCATGTATCTACATTTCCCCCACCTTCTCTTACCCCTCGCCCTTGGGAGAAAAAGTTCTTTGGTGGGAGATACGCAGATGTGGCTAGAAGAGCCACCTTCAATAAGTCACTGCCATGTACAGTAGGTGTGAAAATTCTAAATTGTTTGCTAGAAGAAGATGCAGTGTCTTAATACAAGTATACAGTCCATATATTTAAGGTTAATCCAGTAACATAAGGATAATTTCACATTCAAATGTTAATTATATAAATTTTTATACCAACAAATTGGGAGAAGAAAGGCATAATTAGATAACTGGTTGCTTAAAGGGGTTGGATAAAATCCCATTGTCATTTCTAATAATCACTATAAATGAATGAAAAGCAAACAGTCTAAGTATGATTTTAAAAGCCTATTTATTCCAGACCCAAGAACAAATGTCATTTTAAACAGAAAAAAACTAATGACTTGAAAATAAAAAACGAGGTAGAAGTAGATGCCATCGTCTTTATTATCAAACATTACTTTGCAAGTTCTGTCAAATATAAGAAGACAAGAAAGCAGCCGTGTAAAATTAGGAACAGGAAAAGTCAAAGTTTTCATCACTTTCAGGTGATAGGATTATATATAAAACTAAAACAGCCCTAAAAAGATTGTCATTCACTAGACAACGTGACAATTTGGATTAGAGAGGCACGTGGTTTTTTATTCCGCTACCTGTGTGCTCTTGCTAATGGACTGTAGGTGCACAGGCTCCTTGCACACCAGACCACACAGTGAGCAGCATTTGTTTTGCTTCCCACAGTCCCAGTCCCGCTGGCACTTGGGGGGGTGGATCTGAGCACACTCCGTAGGCTTGCTTGGACAATCACCTTCGTTGACTAGAGGAGACAGATAGATGGAGTCAGCACCCTTGGTGTGAGACAAGACACTTCACCCTGAGATGCTTGTCCTAGCTTAAAGCGTGTTGGAGGAGTTCTAAGAGCGCCAAGCAGGATTTCCCTCTGATCGCCCCACTCCAGTCTTCACAGAATGGAAGAGAGAGAAGGGTCAACTTCCGATGGAAAATCCGTGAAGCGCATCGAACAATGTTGTCGTCTTGCACCAACAATCTAATAGGGTCGCTTCCTGCCCATACAGAATTAATGGATTGGGGTTCTAGAATCCCAGGGTAGCAGAGAAACAGAAGATTAGAGAGCACCCAGAACTTCCCTGGTTTCATGCAGCGTCCATATTGAGGACTATGCAGGTGGGAGTGGACTCCCTAAAGCCACACCAATATCCCAGTGAAAAGTTGCAGTGTATTGGAGACCCTTGCTCTGTTTCCTCCCCACCCCCCACCCCAAACACTGACGATTCTTGGGACATGACGGTGCGATCCCTACATAACATGGAGAATGAAGCATCAGCCCTAGAGGCTGGAGAATAGCTGCTATATTAACAGCATTTTGTTACCAATCTTTTCCCAAGCACACCATACCAGTTGTACCAGATATGAATATGCCGCGCATGCTCAGAAGTTCTGTGCAGATAGGAGGACTTGCTAGGAATATGCTTAGTGGTTGGTTACTAACCATTAACTTATTTGTATGGTTCAACGGATACCGTCACCTTATAGGGCATTGACGAATAAGAACAAATAAGTTCCTATAAGGAGTAATGAGTAGTGATGCATCATTGATTTTTAAGAGCAGTACAATTGTCTCCAGAGGTCAAGAGCAAAGCCTAAGAGCACTAGGTTTCCCTAGAGACACTGCAAAGGAAAGGCTCCCGGGGGACTTCATAGGCCAACCCACCCAAGGGCGAGCTGAGGTTTGAGACGACTCTCTTTCCCTGAGACAGCACAACGGCTTAGACGTATGCCCAGCAGACGTGGGGGGGTGTTTCTTCACTCCTCACCTTCCACAGAAACGGAACAAATAAAGCCACATGTGGATTCACAGCATTTCTCTGAATCAGAGCAGTCAAGGTCACTCTTACATCCATCCGGACATTCCATGCGGTTCGCAATAGGGAAGGTGGGGCACGCTCTCTGCTTTTCTGTAACAAAAGTGGAGGTGGACGTTGGCCCCTCCAACCCTGGCCGTATTGCACCCCTCTTTAAACAGCTGTTCTTTTTCTTCAAGACTAGTAGCCCTTCCTGTGGCTCGGTTCTCCTGCAGACTGTGGGAGAGGGAGATGTTTTACCATGTGATGGCATCACAGGAGGGAGGTGGGACCTGGTGTCAGAAGCCCCGTGGTAAAAGTCACCGTCCTGCCCTGAAATGTGTGATATCAGCTTCCTTCTCTGCACAATGGGGAGAGTGAACCCCACATCCGCGGATGTAAACCACTGCAGGAGAGTTGCTTTTACTTTGAGTGACATGACGAGTCAGGGTTCTCGGTGGATGAGTGATGTGGTCTGACATGTTTTGAAAGGATCCTGTGGCTACTGTGTTAATATTGTTGTTATTAGGGGTTTTTTCTCTTTTTTTGCAGAGTAGTTGTCATTTTTTATTACATATTAATATTGTATTTAACAGGTTACCAAAAACGATCATTTATTTTTCTAAAGCTATTTCTATTTCATTTTGGGAGGTTAAGAGAAGATTAAAAAAGTATCCTCAGAGGAATAAGTTTTTACTCCTTCCCTCAGTAATTTCAGTTTTTCTTCCATTGTCAAAGACTTTTAATGACACCAACAAATGTGCTTATTATTGTCCAGCAAATTGAGAGAATGTACCTGCATGTATCCATTTTTCAAAAGTTGGCCTGCAGAGAAAAATATGCAAAGTTCGCCTTCTGATATTTTCCCCAAACAGTAAGATGCTTATTTCCGTCGCTAAGCAATTGCGTTTGTGAGTGGGACAAGGGAATCGGAGTCTTAAAATGGATTTTTCACAAGTTGGACATTATCAAGGGTACAAGGGTAGACATGCGACCAGGTTTCCGGTTTCCGGGGCGTATTCATCAAGACCCACTTACCTTCTACATCTGCCCTCCTCAGGCCTTGGGGGGTTAAGGCATGCTCCCACTTGCATCAGCACCATAAAATTCAACCTCATCACTCACCAACTCTCCCTGCCCCCAGTGTGTACTTCTCCAACTCCTTACCATCAGTGTGACATTCCTAAGATGAAAACCCGATCACTTTACGGCTATTGACACACCTGAGGTCACAGAAAAGCCAGAAGTGAGGCTAAAACAGTGGTTCTCCACCTTCCTAATGCGGCGACCCTTTCATACAGTTCCTCATGGGGTGGTGACCCCTCCCCGCCCAGCATAAAATTATTCTCGTTGCTACTTCATCACTGTCATTTTGCTACTGTTATGAATTGGGTGATCCCTGTGAAAGGGTCGTTCGACCCCAAAGGGGTCGCGACCCACAGGTTGAGAACCACTGGGCTAAACCGTGAAGCAGGAAAGGAGGTGCCATTGGGAGAGTTACCGTTCTTGCCTGGCCAATTCTCTTATCCTTGCGCCTGTTGAGCCTTTCCCCTGACATCACGTTCCGGAGCATGCCCACCACCTTGTTCCACAACTGCACATACTCATCTGGGGCATTGTGGGATCACCTGTCAATATTCAGGCCCAAGGTCTTTTCTCAGTCACCTGTTTTAGCCAAATGTATATTTCATAGGCTGAACAGGTGTGTTCTCATGAGCTGAACTATGTGCATGTTGAAAAAAGCAGTCTATAAACATCACGGCACCTACAAGGGGGTACCCAAAAAAATCTGGATTTTTTTCCCAAAGCTATGTAGTTACATTTTTTTACAAAACGACCTTATCTCCTTCAAAGTACGCTCCATTACACTTAATACATTTGTCAAATCTGTGATTCCATTCTTGGAAACATTTTTCAAACTCCTTTGTTTGGGTGACTGACAACACCACCCTCAGTTTTTTTCTTCACCTCTTCTACATCATCAAATTGCTGTCCTTTCATGTCCCTCTTCATTCGTGGAAACAAAAAGGATTCTCATGGAGCGAGGTCAGGTGAGTAACATGCGTGGGGCAAGAGAGGCATGCTGGTTTCTGCCAAAATCTGCCACACTGAGATGGCTGTGTAAACAGGTGCATTGCCGTGGTGGCAAAACCAGTCCCCCATCTGCCACACACTGTTACACAATCTTTTCAGAACCTCTAAATAGAAAGCTTGATTAACACTCTGACCTGGTGGAATGAACTCCAAATGCACGACCAGTTGACATTTTTGTCCATTTGGGAAGTTGACAGATGTCCAGAACCAGGTTTGTCATCAATTAGCACTTCATATTTTTTTTGAAACAAGAAAACCATTTGTACACTTGAGTTTTTCCCTTGGCGCTGTCTTTGTAAGCTATGTTCAACATCACAACAGTGTCTGCAGCATTTTTCCCAAGCAGGAAATAAAATTTCACAGCCACACATTGTTCTCTGAAATCAGCCATCGCAAAACACAAGGTTCAAGCGAAACAGCTTTAACAAAAAAATTTGTTGTGTCCAGAGAGAACCTTCCCAGGCAATGCCACTAGGTGCACTAACTCAGAGTGAGTTGCTGGATGTTCACCTAGCAGGAAAAGTGTGTACTGTGAAAGCCAGCGGAGCTGTTTTCCACTTTCCCCCCCACTGGGTCCCCCATTGCATCTGCATATACAACTATAGCTGCTGTCCTTCCGGACATCGGACATCGTCAGCCATAGATGGCGTGGAGTTTAATCTTCTTTAGCTATGATTTTGAATTATAGTATGGTATAAATATGGTTACTGAATAAATTAAGGATTGAGTATTTGATGTCCCACCTTCTTTGCCTAGCGAAGCACAAAATCCAAAACTCGGATGTCACATGGTGAGGTGCTGTGACGCTAGTTCGCCCTCCTAGGGACTTGTGCACAGCAGAACGAGACGTTGCCAGGTCCTGCACCACCCTCACCTCCCTGCTGTGTTCGGGTCCCTCTGATGGTGTCAAGTCATCTTATTGAGGGTCTTCTTCTCTGTCATAGACCCTCTCGTGTACCTAGCACATTGTCTTTCTTACGTGATTGGTCTCTCTGGATGTCATGTCCAGAGTAAGGGAGACGAAGTCCCATCATCCTGTTTCTAAGGAGTATTCTGGCTCTGTTTCCCCCAAGACAGAGTGGTTCACTCATTTGGCAATCCATGGTATGGATATGCAGTCATCTTCACCAACACAATCTGAATGCCTCAATTCTCCATCAAACTCCCCTTTCCAGGGTCCCATTTTTGTATGGTGTCAGATGCCCCTAAATCATCAGAGTGATAGCTTTGTTTTTCAACATCTGAAAGAGGTCTTTTGCAGCAGATTTACCTAATGCAATATGTCATTTTATTTATTTTTTACTTCTGCTTCCATGGGCATTGATTATTGATCCCCCCAAAAATGAAATCCTTGACAACTTCAATTCCTTTGCCCTTTATTATGATGTAGTTTATTGGTCCAGTTGGAAGGATTTCTCCCCCCTAATCTCTGTTGATATGTGACTGTAATGGGTCAAGGATAGAAGCAGAAAGATCTGTTAAGAGGCTGTTTCAGTAATTGAGATAAGAGAAGGTGCCTCAGATTTGGGTGGAAGCTCTGAAGGTAGTAGTAACAAGCAGTTAGATTCTGACTCTATTTTCAAGGCAGAACTAAAATTCTTGTCTAATTCTAATGGTTGTTGATTGAGAGAGGCATCCAATGTTCTAAAACTGATTGAAGGATGATTGCAGAACTCTGCTGGACATGATTGAACTATTGAATTGTATGCTATGTGGAGAAGTGCCCATAAAACTGTTTTTAAAAAGAAAGAAAGAAAGAGGGTCATCAAATGGGAATTTAAAGTTTGTTCATCCAAGATAGGTGAGAAGACACAGTTTGGCAGTGAGATCTGGTCTGAAGATCTAATTTTGGATGAGCTCTGGTGGCATAGTGCTTACACGGGCTGCTAAACACAAGTTCAGCAGTTTGAAACCACCAGCATGCTCTGCGGGTGAAAGATGAGGCTGTCTACTACCATAAAGAGTTACAGTCTTGCTCTATCTGCCCTTTGGCCTCCCTGATTGCTGGAACTCCGCCTCCAGGGGCAGCCCCACGTGGAGCACTTGACCCTGAGAGCTGTCAGCACCCTGCCACGTTTCCACCAATCTTGGATGCATGCAGCACTGCACCCACCAGCCTGGCACTTGCTTGCTTGCTGCTTCACTTTCTGTGTCTTCAGCCTGCAGCTACATGCTTCTGAAGAGGGACGTATGGACTAGAGTTGACTCTGCTGGGATGCCTTCTTGAAATATGATCATTTCTTGATCTAAAGTCTCTTCTTATACATGAAAAAGGGGGTTCAGTCTTGGAGACTCACAGACAGAGTTCTATCCTGTCTGAATAGGGTCTCTATGAGTCGGAATCAACTCCATGGCGGTGATTTTTTTTTTTTTTTTTGAGACCAGCACCAGTTGCCGTCGGGTTGCTTCTGACTCATGGTTGCCCCGTGTCTGTGCTTCATGGGGTTTTCAGTGGCTGACTTTTAAAAAGTGTACTTCCTGGTATGTCCCCCCAAGATACCTAGGGGTGGTCTTAAACTTCCGACCCAGTGTGTTCACCCTAATTCTTCAGAATTTTATGCATGCCACCTGTTGTCCTCATCTGATTAAACATTCTATTGCAGCAGAAATTGTTGCTCCACCCCCTTCCTTGAGTCAGACCCAGAGAGACTGTGATGTGCTTGATACCTAGAGGAGTTCTCAGCTGCTTCCTGCGCCCCAAACCTAATTTTCCCACAAACTCTAGCACAAGCTGGATTTCTGCCTTCTGTCGTGCCCAAATCTGGTTCTCAGCATCCTCTCACAAAGGAGTGCTTTGGTCGATGGGATTGCCTGGGTCCTATAGACTCACTGGACCCATGGTCTTACTGTTCAACTCTACTTCTTATGCCCCGTGCAGCCTGGGGCCATGGACAGTTCCTCTCTGGCTGTTTCCCCAACTACAGAATGACCGATGTTACAAAGTCAGAGAGGGTGAAAATCCCAGTGCTGCCTTGTAAAGCAGACAAGGTTGCATTTTGAAGGTCTGGTGGAGATCTGGGTGGAGATCCCGGGGGACTGGGGGACAGGAAGCCCCTGAGGGAGGCAGGGAGATAATGAGAAGCTCACACCCCCTCGCTGAGGCTGAGCCCTGGGCCACAGGCAGGACGCCCGAGCAGCTGCAGGCTGGGGTGGCTGAGGCCAGACCGTGGATAAAGGCGGCTTGGGCTGTTAGGGTCTGTCCCCTCAATGAACTTGGGAACTAAGGAAGGGCGCAGATGTAGAAGCAGGGATGGCCCATGCAGCAAGGCCACTCCGTCTGTCCCCACCTCCCCCAGAGGCTACACATATCGCTGGCCCCGAGGGGAGGTTTGCTGTGGGAGTCTCCCTACACTCGGATGGCTGGGCCCCCACGGATCACAAGTTCTGGGTGTCCAACTTTCAATGGTTACCTTTTACTGAGCCCACGTTACTGGGCAGCCACTATGTTATTTAAGTCTTTGTGTCCTTGACCACATATCATCCTATCAATAACTCATTGAGGTGTTGCCATGACTTCAGTACTCCAAGAGATGGATACATGGGGAAATAGACTTTTCATCCAGGTCACAGTTCCTAAGCTTTGTGGGACCCTGTCTCCCAACGTGACGATTATACTAAGGAATTAATTGTACAAAGGAGTTCAGCCATAGCCGTCACCTTTACCCTATCCCACTCTATCTCCTGCGCTTTACATCTCACCCAAGGGACTCAAGAGAAGGCCTGTCTGTGCCATGTTCTCGGTTGAATTCTCAGGGTGATGCACAACAGGTGGGTGTGTTGAGGCACCATCTTCCTCCAAGGGGTTACGCACCTCTTGGGCTCCAGTGGCTAACATTGATTAACATCTTATGTGAACTGTCTCATATGTGGGGCAAAACAACTCCATTAGGTGTTTACTATCCCCATTGTATAGACAATAAAACTAGAATTTGTAAAAGACAGGAGCCTCCGGTCACCCAGCCAATGAGTGACAGAACAAAGACAACCCACGGCAGTTTAACCTCAAAGCCTGAGCCTCGACCTGTGTTGTTATATGACTTCTACTTGAACGAGGCCGTTAGACTTCCAAGAGTATGCATCTTACTGTTTTCTCTGCAGTTCTTCTTACACTCTGTCTTGGAAAGGAAGTTGTTGGCATTCCCATCGCATCCGGTATAGAGGAAGGGCTTGCACGCCTTTTGTTTACTGTTGTAATACCAGCGCGATTGTGAACCCTTGCATACTCCTCGCCTCATCGTCAGCATGCAGGGATCTGAGGAACAAAGCAAAGAAGGGAGTGTATGTTCAAGGGCAAGCACAGAGGCGGGAGCCCATTCCTCAGCCTTTGCCATAGTTCCTGGTATTGTCACGGAAGTCCTAGAACCAGCCACAGCCCCAAAAGGCATAGATTCTAGTCCCAACTCTGTAACTAATATTCTATGTGGGACAGGCATTTGACTGCGGAGCCTAACAAACTATGGGTCATCTTGTGCATCATGAGAGGAGAGCTACAGAGCACTTAATTGTTCTCAAGTGAAACCCCTATACCAACCATGAGGCAGTTGTTTTAATGGAAAATGGAATACTGCATGGTTTAAAATCAGGAAAGATGCCTCCCCCCAGAAGAATTTATTTCAGAGGACAACACTGAATCTGCAGCTCCGAGAGAGGGGCATGTCTGATCAGAGCTCAGGGGAGCAAATGAAGGGGGAGGAAGAGAGAGTGGAGCACTTCCTGACCCACCAAGCCTTGAGGATGATATTCTTGCTCAGAACAGCCAATCCACAGAGAAGATCACATGGCTGGGCCCACTATGAGACACAACATCTCTCACTGACCCATAGCCCTACAGGGGACAACACTGGAGACACAGTGTGGGAATTCCGCCCAATCTGATCCCATCACACCAAGGCAAAACACTAAGGTGTGCAACGGAACAGCAAGGGGAGCAGAGCAACAAAGTCCCCAGGGAATACCAAAAATAGACCTTGGGGCCAGGGCTTGGCACCCCATCAGACTCGACCAAAAAATACTCCTAAAGGCCAACAAACAGTCCTTGAACTAACTACAAGCTTTTCTTTCTTGTTGTTGTGTTTTGTTTTGTTCTTTGTCATTGGGTTGTTGTTGTTTTGTTGTATTTTGTTGCTTGGTTTTGCTCTGTCTTGTTTTTGTGCATGTTATTATCTCCGCAGGTCTATCTAAATAAGATAGGCTAGATGAACAATCTGGAGGAGAAAACAACGGGACTGACAGTTCCGGGGGTACATGGGATAGGG